ATCTACTCAAAAGCATCGTGTGGTCGAGTGAACGTAAGTCCTCCAGGATTTTCGAGCCGGTGACATCCAATTTCCATCGGCTACTCACATCTACTTAATGTTGTGTCGGCCCCAACTGCTCAACGCACTTTTACAACGAAAATACCAGGACAAGCATAGACAAAGCTATTTTACGTCAGAAAGCGGCACTATCATATATCAAACGAGCGGCAGTCAAAAGTAACTATAGCACTGAAAACTCCGGACTGAACAAGTCAGTAAGAGAGCAGTAACACAAAGCATCAATCAAATACACTCGACGAGATGTTATTCACAGCGTAATTTCCAGGGGGAACTTGTGGTAAGCTACCAGAAGTAACGAGTACTGACGGCCAATAAGGCTCTAAAATGATGCGTTAAAACAAATGTTGAAAGATGCACGTAGCAAAACTGAAAGCTTGCCGTTTCGAACTATCACACAACATGTACCTTAATTGAACGTTTCCCAAAACATCTAAAGATTTTTTTAATGCGGTGGCTAATAGCTTTTTAGTGTCATTCGCATAGCTTTTGCTCTGCTCTCATTCAGCGTTCAAGTGCCTTCCTGGACAACAAGCGATTGGTTCGCCGTCAGCTTCCTAGGGTACTACTTATGGCAGGTCAGCCGATTGGCTTTTTATGTTACTTCGTAAGGTGGGTTTCTCGTTCGGATCTCTGCGATAACACAAAGTGGCTGCACTACCTAACCCGGACCCATCAGTGTCCAAACGCGATGCTTATAAATTCGATCGGTGATCAACCCAAACCTGACCTTCCAGAACTGTTGACTCAACACAGTTCAGCTGTCCTGTGAGGTGGACTGGTTTGAAGGTCACACGTGTCGTAGTCGACATTGATTAATATTACTTCCTCGGAGCTTATTACTCCCCACAGCCATTTGCATTCCCTAAATCCTACTAGTGGTCATCATCTCAGGGTCGTAACTAACACTGCGCCACCCAGGGAGTGGAACTGATTTGCATACCCTACGCAGACATTGGCTTCGCTCGGACGATCTGACAGACTTAGAGATAACATTAACATCCGTTTTCAGCTAGAGCAGATAGAGGCCCCAGTGCGGTTTTAGCTCTCGGAAACTGAATTTTTGAACTGTAAATTAGCGACTTGCGAGCTAGCGGTTTCGTTTTAGGTACGCTTGTGCATGAAAACAAACAGGATTCGTCAGTAGACTATCCGTTCCGAGTACCATATTTCCAAATTAGGCTGGAGGCAGCACGGTCAGCTTGATTTGAAAGAGTTTGTCTACTTGATGAGAGTATAAGTGGAAGCACCGCGTGGGCAGTCCGTTAAGGGTACCTTTGAGGGTGGGAACAGTGCAGGCTTGAACTAATTGAGAGTCGTCAATAGTGTGAATTTTTAAGTCGAAAATAGCCCTTCAGCTTGCATTCCGATTGGATTGCGTGCGTAAGCACGATCGACGGTTTTCACAACGCTTCCCCTCCCAGTCACTGAAAATAGAAATCGGAACCATTTAGTGCAATGCGTGTTTCATAGACAAAGCTCATGTCCAATTGAATTTAACTTTGACTTAAGGTTATCAGTTTTAACGGGACACTACCATTATGGAACGATGGCCAATTGTTAAGGGTATATTAAGGAGCATAAGAGACCGAAGCTTGACATGTCCAGTCGGATGATCAATTAGTGGAGAGCAAACTGAAGGCAAAATAGGCAACGGAAAATAGTGAACAACAAAAATTGCTAGCTTGCTGGTTACAGGGCTCTCCATCTGAGCGAACCATACTTGGTTTTATGTCTTATCCAAGAACATTGTCTGTGGTTCCCATGCAAAACTGGGGGGAGGGGTAGATGTGTATTTGTTTTTTCTGCTTTTTTTGGAGTTGTTTGCTCTACGTCGACGTTGAATAATGATTACAACAATGATTTATCAGTGGTCGAAAAGCAGACGCCTAACAAGTCTCGCTGGATGGGTAAGATAAAACTAATAAATACCAAAGATATGTGTGCCGCCAGTTCAAGCGCCCATCCCTTTAAATGGGCTGCTTCAAGACGACAGTGTGCAAGAGGAAGTGAAGTTGGCATAAAAGGTAATAAGAGCAACAGTCATGGTTAGCGTATTTTATGAACGAAAAGATAGAAAAGCTCAATGGTGTCCCGCCTCCTAGCATTTATATGATATATAAACCCGGTATGAACACATGATAAGGATATTTTTCAGTAACACACTATGTGAAGTGAATTGAGGGGAGCTAAGAGCAGTATTCGAGTGTTATTTAAGGTATCCAAATTAAGGGAGGAAATAACGGTTTTGGAAATCGTTTCATGGTTGGCAAACCGGGTGGAAACAGTTATTCGATGGAAAGTTTAGACGGCTATTTGCTCACTCTGAGCTTCATAATGCGGTTCCTGTACACTAAATAGCGATCTAGATAGTTGTGGTCAAGTTGTATTTGGCACACCAACATAAGATCTCTGCGTAACAGTCGATAGGGTCAGCTGAAAACTCCTAGTAAGTTCAGCCTTTGTTGAAAGACAAGTTGCGCTTTAACCAAAGTTACTAAGCTTTGATAGCGTATTCACTGTGAAGGCGCACGCAAAAGTTGCGTATCATCTGGAAGATGGATAGGTCGAATCGCCAGAATACCCTATGAACCAGGCCGACGTGTTGGTTACCTTTTCCCGCAGATGACCCTCACACCGTTCTGAACAGTTGGGGTCACATTGTATGGTCAGATCAAGATCGCTTTTCCGGGAAATAGTTTGCAATCTGTGTGCCCCGAGCCAAAACACGTAGTCTTGACTATGGCGTAGTTGACCAACAGGACATTTTCCTACCTTGCATAGTTGAGTATTCTAAATTGGCCAGTTCAGTATCATGTTGCATCGCACTGGAGCCTTTCTTTGTCATCTTGTCTTCGGATAGCTCGCCATATCTTAATATCATTTGTGAAGAATAAGAAAGCGAAGCAATTGACCTTGCTAGCTGGTTTGTGAAACCAAGAATAAGCAAGGCTCCAGCGACGATACCTTTTTGGATGCCATGCCACACCCGTATTATGTCAGACACAGACGTTCGGACCCTTGCTCCCAACCAACATTCATCTAGAAAAGTGCAAATTCGATGTGACCTGGTCGCTAATCCCAGAGTTCGGAAGACTGTAGAGGACAATACGATGTTCTTAGCAATCAAATACTTTTGAGAAGTCCTGCGAGATGACGTAGACCTTAAATCCACTATCAATGTCTTAGGTCCAGCTATCGCATGTAGCTAGAAGGTTAGTAATAAAGAGAAGCAGTAGGGGGAATTAGTATGATACAAGTTAAAATTCGTCTCAACTTGTCTCATTCAGGCGGTCACCACACGTTCGCTAGAGCGCTGCACAGCGCTTCATTCCTCCAGGAATCGTCAGCAGGGCGCATTCCACCTGGCCGCTGTGAGACTAAAACCGGCGACTCGACTGTTGCCACTCTGTGGTTGGGACTACTGAGCTACGGGGTCAGTTACGGCCGTCGTGATGTGATGTGATTTGTGAGCGGCGCCGGTATTGCCAGCAGCCTAAAAGGCTAGGAAACTGTCAGTGGATGTCAAGAGTCATGAGTAGGGAGTCTGTTGATGTTAAATTCGTACCAACTGCTCTTAGACTTCAAATAGGAATTTGGATGGATTAGAGACGAGCAGATTCAACAGACCAAGTTGGTAAGCAACTCGAATAAATATGAATGTAAGGAGCAGACGTCCATAATTGTGTTCCGGGTTATTCCGATTGGTTGTTATGCAAGGGAGAACCATCGCGTGAACAGTGTGGAGTATTCTAGGAGGATTGGTAGAGGGACGTGCGCATACAATCAAATGGAAGATGAATTCCAACCAAAGTTTCATAGTACTCAATTCTGAATTAAAACTGTCCTCAGTGCAACCAAAAAGTAAGGTCATACGACAATGAAAAATAAGTGAAGTGATGTTATACGGCATGTAGCGGGGTAGATCTGTTAGGGCCAGCACATGCATGTATCCATGGCTCCATGGATCTCAGTTGTTTGGGTCATCCTTTAACTAGTAGACCCCGAGTTTGACACTCCCCTCAGGCTCTCTATACCTACTTAGTCCAAACAAGGACAAAACTGCTCATTGGGCGTCAGGTTTGGGAACGACAACAGTGAAAACCTCTCCAAAGCAGTCGCAGTTTTAGTCTACCTCCCCACTGCACTGTATGTGCAGATACTTGGTGCTCTCCCACCTGTATGGTAAGGTGGTGCCTTATAAAGGATAGCATGTCACAGTACATTCATCCATCATGTTCGAGCGGTCGCATACCGCCGCTTGCTGCACGTGATTTCGATACTCTGGTTTAGTTGCGCTACCCCTGACACAGGTTACAAGGCCGAGTTGATCCAATTTTACCTGCCTATGAGTTTTCATCCCAACCGCTTGTCACTTTGATAGATGGAAGAGAGAGAGCACTACCGCGCCATACCGACGCATGCATCTACAGTTGTTGATGCCAGTTCGTCCGCCCGAATTTGAGACCTGTGTGCGTCGGCTGTATACAATCGATTCCCACGTGCGCGTACCACCAAGCTTTATTTCATCTGGCTGTGTACTGAACGTGATGTGTACTCAAAGTTGTGTGTGGCCCCATTGTGGACACTGCCTTGCTGTGGTTGTGGGTTGCCATAGGGTTAAGTGAACCCTCACATGGCCAATGTCGACTATACACTCCGCACTCCGAGTCATGGAGTGCATTGTTATCAGAAGGTAACACTAAATATATTCTAAAAATGCTATTACCATTTCTGCTGAAGTTGACAAACCAGCCCAGTTAGATAAACTTCCATCATGAGTGCGTTTTCTTTTGCCTGTCCGCTGCTCTCTAACTAACCAGTGTAGCCTATGAAAGATTAATTGTTCCCTTCAATTTTGTTAATCTGTGGTTTCGCAAATTTTGCATCAATTTCATGCTAAATGCAGCTGAATGTCTTTTGACTTTATTTGAACTCAGCGGGGAATTTCCATCGCTTCATATGCCGAACTGTTCAAGAAAGGTGTACCTTATTATACCACTTTGGTCCAACGAGAATTTGAGGCATGTCTGTCAGAAAAAGCACAACGTGCATCTCAGATTTTTACGACCGATTCCGAAGGAACGAAGTCTGTGGACCAAGAGGGAATGACGCCTTGAAAGCCAAGAAGCGTTCTACAGTATGCTGGGATGGAATATCAACTGCAAGTTCAAGTTGAGACGAAAAGAAAATCAATACACAGTGATATTAGCAACGCACTTCGAATAATAGATGGTCTACCAAAGTCGCTCTAGATTGTAACGGTTAGGGAGTACAAAAGTAGATGCTGTGAAAGGGTGAAATACAAATATCCTCAGTAGCTGTAGTTCTCCTCAGTATTCTGTTGCATTGGGCGGGTTGTGTTGAGTATACTGATATAGAGCTCCTAAAACGTGCTACAATTGCACACTACACAAGACCACATGCAACTTACGTTTTACTGAGGGGCCAACGCAGACGATGGGGCCCGACAATGTGCTTAATCCATGTAGGATCAATTAACAGTGATCAAGATAGCAGGGATAAGCTTTGAACCAATCTTACCGGCCTACTAGAAACTAGGGATGTTATTTGTATGTGAATATCAATATCGCAAAGCACAAGCTGACCTGCGCGAACAGTTGGCAAGCCAATCTTCGGTTGCAATTCTTGACCTTCCCCACTCAGCCGGTGTGCCTTAGGAAATTCCAATCCAACCTAAGCAGCCAAATATACTCGCACAGTATATTACTCAGTTCTCACAGCCGTTCCTTCTAACGGTCTGGTCTTTACTACGCAACTCTCCGAGATCGTAGCGTACAGCGGCGTGCACCATTGGGCGAATGGAACGGAACTTTCTGAGCTATCTTCACGGCCAGTCTGATGTGATAAAGGCGAGCGTGCAGGTCTTCACTGAGGAATAAGTCGGACAATATGCGTGGGTTTGCAGTTTACAAACAACCCACGAAATTAGCGTGTATTGGCTCCCCCGTTAAAACATTTCGTACATCACTAACCCCGTAGTAACCGTTCAATTCGGGCAGCGAGGATGCTGGGAACGTCATTTAAATACAAGCTGGATTGGGTTGTGAAATGTGTAAAAATTTTGTTCTCGTTTTGTCTATCTGCCGTGTCAGAAACCTCTGTCATGGCTTCAGACTATAAAATTTTAGGAAGATATCAAACTATAGTGTCGCTCACACATGGGGATGACAAACAAGCATAAAATCCCCGGTAAATGCGGTTACATAGAACGGTAAGTCTAACAATTACCTACCAATCACAGGGGAAAAGATCTAAATTAAATTCCATTCCTTGCTACTTACACGCGAATGTATCTGGAGCTGGAAGGAGGAACGTGGGCCATGTGATCCTCAGCTACTCTGATGGCTCAAAACTTGCAATAGGACAGGAGTTGAACGAATCGTGTCCTTCAAGTACGGAATGACCGAGTGATGGCTGTTTAGGTGCATTGCATTTACTGACGTGATTGTCCTCCTAAAGGGTTTCCTTAATTATTCTGTTTCTAATGCAGTTCAAAGCCAACGAGATTCTGAGGGACGAGTTTGGAGCCGACTGGGAACACAAGCGTTCAGAAAGGTTTGGGAAAGTCGGTTGGTGTATTTGTTATGCAACGCATTTGTGTATGTCCGTAACAACATATCAGCACGGCGCAACTTACAAGTGGTGAAAAGATAAAGAACTCCAGACAGGATCAATCATTGGGGAAGTCCAGACATAGTCACAAGTCATGTGTATTGCAGTGAGGTAACTAGTTCCAAACGTGCTAGGCTGAGTCACCGAGGCGCGTAAATGGAATTATACTTAACGTCACCTGATCTTGCCTGCGCCAGACGCTTAAAGCCATTGTTGGCGGCGTCGGGTTCTGGAATTGCCTGTCACTACGGCCTCCAGAGAGACATCCATATGACGCCTACGCCTACACAGGAACCATGGGTGGCATACGCTGCACCATCCACGGCTGCATCTATACAGACGATGCAGACGACGCTAAAATATGGAGAGCAATTCGCTCAGCACCCGACTGTGTCTACCTCCAGGAAAACCTGACCCGGATTAACGAATGGGCAGAAAGGAATCAGCTTCCACTGAACCATGCAAAGCGCCACCTGCTGACGGTGCGCAGCAAATTCGTCAACACATATCTTTTGGGGCAACACAACCTGCAACACGTGACTAGTGAACGCGACTTAAGTATAATCATGCATGATGGTCTTGGCAATTCGTTCCAATGTTCGAAAGCAACAAGTAGGGCGAACTTGAACTTGAGACTTTTGAGGCGAGCTCTCGGCACCTTTGAGCGACCGCTAGCACCAATGCTGACTAACTCCTATATTCCTTTTCACGTTGAATATGCAATTCAGGCCTGGTGTCCATGGTTAAAACGAGACATTCGCCTATTGGAACAACCCCAAAGGAAAGTCACAAACGCAACGCGTGGACTATCCTATCTAAGTTACAAGCTACGTCTTCGTGTATTCGGTGTGTTCTCCTCAGAATCCCGACGGTTTCGCGGAGATATTACTCTTACATACCGGCTACTTACTGAAACCGAGCATCCATGTACATCGCTGTTGACCCTATCCCCTTACAAACAATGCCGAGGTAACCACTTGAAACTTAATGACGCAACACTGCCGTCTGAATTGTAAGAAGTATTTTTATTCACTTAGAATCTATTCTCACTGGAATGCATTAGCAAAATATGCGGTGAACGCACCAGGCACGATGACATTCGTAAGACTCGTAGACTTTCATCTTACTGATAAACGCTATACAACAGTTTGATAAAGTACAATGGCTTAACCACTGATACTTCCCGTTCCACGTTGAAACATTTTTATTTTAATTTTCTTTTGCGTATCCATCTTGTGGGTATTTTAAGTTTATGCTTTTTATCCCACCATACACTATTGAACTATTGAGCACCCCATATCCAGTGTAAATCCGAACAATGAACAATGAGCACTGGTTTATCACGGGTAAAAAAAGCATTGCTTGACAAGTCCCGTAGGATGTTTGGAGTAAAAATTAAAATTTGCGGAATCAACAAATAACTAAATTGTCATGTTAAGCATCTACCGAGTTAAATGCACTGCTGCAAAACGATAGGTTGAAATGGGAATAGGATGTGTGCACACAAAATAGTATAGAGAGCCGTTATAGTTCAGTAAGTGCGTGAGAAATTAAAAGGGAAATGACAACGCTCACGCGTTTGTTTCTTCATTTGACAGATGGGACATGTTAATCCAGTTTAGAAACATCCAGGTACACATATAGACACTTGTATGTATCCTCACCTGGACGTTGCGGAGAGGGTCGTTAAGCACATAGTTTTTTTGCGTTATTTCGTAAGCCAAGTGGAACGATCTCAAGTAATGCAAGTTGGGAAGCGTTTCATCAAGACGTTTTTTGAGTAAGATTAATGTAGAGGCAAGTATAAACAATGAACAATGAGTTTTGTCGGGTAAAAAATCAGTTGCTTGACAAGTCCCGCAAGATGGTGGGGGTAAAATTACACCTACCAAATGAAGTGCGAGTTGTCTGTTTGAGCGTTTAGCTAGCAGTTCCGCTGCTAAATAATAGTAGTGTAAGTGGAAATTGAATGCGAACGACGAGACAAAATGAGGACAGTTATAGTTGTTGTACTCCGCGAGGGAGGGATAATTAATATATCCCAAAGTTGCACAGTTTAGGCAACGAAGAAATAGGGGCCAAGGGCAAAATCCAACCGTTTTTGCAAATATCCTATGGCGGCGTTGAAACAACGAAGTTTGGGAGAGAGTTCCAGGGTTGGCAAACCCGAAGGGAAAAATAATTCCACCGGCATTCCAGGCAGCTAAACTGTGCACACAATTTCAGAGGTTACCCCTGAGATTGGTGTTATAGTTGAGTTTCAGCAAGTGACGGCATACGTGATTGGGGTCACCCAATATTTGGTAGACTAATATGAGATCGCCACGCAGCCTTCGGTAGCAGTCACTGAAAACTCCCAGTGACTTCAGCATTTGATGGTAGGACAGATTTCGTAGGCCTTTGACGTTCTTTGTGACCCTGCGTTAGGGTTTCTCGAGTACCTATAAGTCGCGCTCCAACCAAGGTTGCCAAGCTTGGATGGCGTGTTCAACGTGTGGGCACAAGTAATAATTGTGCATCATGGGGAAGATGGATGGGTCGAAACTTCCTAATGCTCTCCGCAGCAAGTCGACGTACTGGTTGGCTCTCTTCGCAGCTGCCTCTGATTGCTTCGAACAGTTAAGGTCAGATTGAATGAGCAAACCAAGCTCGCGCTCTTGGGAAGTTTGCAATACATGTGACCCAAACCTATACACGTAGTCATGTCTATGGCACAAGTGAACAGCGTGACATTTTTCCACGTTGAACGGTAGGATATTTAAAACTGACCAGGTTAAAATCGTGTTGAGGTTACGCTGGAGGTTTCCGCGCTAGTTCGAATCTCTGATGGCTCGCTATAACTTGATTTCGTCCACTTAGAGTAAGAAATCGGAAGCGATTTCCATCGCCAGCTCGTTTATGAAAATCAAGTATAGATGGGCCAGAACACCGAGCATTGTGGTACGCCGCACTCCACTTCAATTGCGCAAGACAGAGATATGCGAACTCTCGCTTCCAACCGACGTTCATGCGGGAAATTTCATATCCAACGCAGCAGTGAGTCATCAACGCCATAGAGCTGAAGTTTGTGGAGGAGAATTCGAAGGTCTAAGCGATCAAACGCTTTTGAGAAATCCAAGTATATGACATCAACTCCTGCTCCATCATTAAGTGCTTCAAACGAGCTGTTGCTTGCATTTAACAAGTTCGTAGTGCATGAGCGCTTTTGTCAGAAGCCATGTTGCTCTAGTGCCATCATGTTGTGATTTTCCAGATCCTACATGAGTGCATCAGCGCTGAAAGACTTCATAAACTTGGAAATCATAGGGAGCAGCGTAATAGGACGATAATTGGTTGGGTCAGTGCGACTACCTAACTTATGAATAGGAGTGATGACCCCTCACTTCCATGTTGCTGGAATATGGTTCCCTCTAGACAGCGCGGATAGAATATAGTCAGGTGTACCGCCAGGTCACTGGCTGCTGATGACTGTAAAGCCTACCGT